GGGATACAACTGCCTCTTGCTAGGTGGTAAGAAAGCCCCTCTCATTCTAAAAGGCGAGGAAAGGTTTGGGAGAAATTTCACCCGCGCCAAAGTGGGGAAGGTCAGGTTTGGAAGGCATTGCGATCTTGAGCTTTACCAGATGTAAAAAGAAGTTAAATGTTAATACTCACAGATTTTTGTGAGTGTCCAATGAAGGAATGAATGGGAAACCAATTTGCAAAATTTAAATTGCTGCTCAAATAGACATTCTCTGAAATAGAACGAAAGATGGTGGGCAGATGGCTTGGTTTCCAGCCCAGGATTAGTTGCTAGCTGGCATGGTAGCTTCCGACCCTGCAGTCATGTGTCGGTCCCCTGTCCCTATTGTTGAAAGGGGACTGAGAAGATGACACATCTCTCCGGGGTGGTTAATAGCTTCATGTGTTTTGGGGCTTTGTGAGAACCATTGTCCGAGGTCAGAACAGACTTGAGAGCTGTCATTTTTGTTTTTGTTTTGTGTTTTCAGGCAGCCCGAAAGATGAGATCAATCCAGGGAGAGTATGGGAATTTACCCCCCCAGAAAGTGAATATGTTGTTACAGAGGTTTCCTAACAAATCACATCTCAGCTGAAAATGGAGAAACATTTTCAATGACTGGACTGTCGCTTCTGAGAATATACAGAGGCATTTTAGAGACATTTGCACTGCCATGCTCTATTGGAAGGGTAAAAGGTGGCGAAACACTTTTTTCACCCTTTGGAATTAATGTCTGGGTGGAAGTTATGCTTTATCTTGAAATAAACTCCTCTGAAGAGAACTTGGCTTTTGTTATGGATTAGCTACTCCCTCCATACTTGAATCCTGTATCCTCCCCTCTGGAAGTTCTTTGCTCTCTGATTTGCCTCAGGAACAGGACAAAAACCTTTGTCTTATCCTGCATTTGAATTCCTTTACACCATTTAGTGCCCTTGCCTTTGGATGCAGTAAGGGTGTTGAAGTCTGCCTGCAATACAAAGTTTTTTGCCATCATCTGTAAATACTTAGTGACTACCTACTTTGTGCATAGCCCCTGCAAGGTATTCCCAGGATATCAGAACTTCACAAACTAGTGACCCAAAGGTACTGTATTTGATTTGGTCCACATAGTTAAACATTTGTTTTTATATTAGCTGATCACATTTTTTAAAATATCTTTATTGATTTTTTACAGAGAGGAAGGGAGAGGGATAGATAGTTAGAAACATTGATGAGAGAGAAACATCGATCAGCTGCCTCCTGCACACCCCCCACTGGGGATGTGCCCACAACCAAGGCACATGCCACCAACCGGAATTGAACCCAGGACCCTTCAGTCCACAGGCTGACGCTCTATCCACTGAGCCAAACCAGTTAGGGCTAGCTGATCACATTTTAAAATAGGAAAAATGTGCCATGGCTGGTGTGGCTTAGTTGGTTGGGTGTCCTCCTGTGCACCAAAAGGTTCCTGGTCAGGGCACAAGCAGGGGTTGTGGGCTCCATCCCCAGTAAGGGGTGCAGGAGGCAGCGATGGATGTTACCTTCTCCCACTGATGTTTCTCTCTTCTCCCTATTCTTTAAAAATATATAAAAATTTAATGTCATAGAAGTAAATTTTTTAGCTTTTCTTTAAAAAAAAAAAAGAAAAGATCTGGTAACCCTAGTTTCTCATTACCACATGGCAATAATCAATTATTGTTCATCCTTTTCTAGGGACCTGTCCACTAGACTCCTCCAAATGGTGAAACTGTGACTTAATTGGCAGTTACCTTTGTGTGTCACCTGTCTACATCTCTCATTAAGTTACCCAGTTGCTGAAAGCATTTTTGTGACACCCCACCCCCGATATTAGAAACAACTGTATAGCATTTTATGTATACTCTGCCCTTTCTGTCATAACTGAGTTAACCTTTTCTTTGTACCTTCCAGCATTATTACATGGACAAAAAGATCAGTGGGGTTTTTAAAGCTCCAGTGGGATAATTATTACGATAAAGGAGTCTTGCTTGCCTCCCTGTTCCCCCAGAGCTACCTCTTCCTATAGTTCTCATACCAGATAGGTAGAGCACCTAGCAATTGTCTGGTTCTGCCAGCGGAGGCTTTTAGCAATAGGAAGAAGTTCAGTGGCTAGGCACTTTAGACTAGACTTAGGAGTTCTTAACCTAGAGTCAATAGATGGCCCAATAAGATTTCTGTGAACATGGACGGGAAAACAATTTTATCTTTAATCACAACTGATATAGCATTTCAGTTAAGAGAGTGGGAAATAAACCACAGTGTCATTAGCAATACCATATGAAATAAATATTTTCAAATCATATTATAGTTTGTTACAGATACCTCAGTATCATGCTCATCACTAGCTTCAAAATTATGGTAGCTGCTGGATCTTATTTAATGTGCAAATAAATATTACTGTGTTACAAATTTGTTTTATTAGTATTTTGATAATTGTATTTCAACAATTGATTTCCTTTATAATTCTTGAACTTTTGTGCATTTATAAACAATCTGAGAAGGGTTCAGGGGCTTCACCAGGTTGCTAAAGGGTCCGGGGCACACAAAAAGGTTAAGAACCCCTAGACTCAACGGCCCACTGACAAAAAGTACAACCATTTCCTGAAATCAAACGCCTTCTTTTTCCTGGTGCTTCTACAATTAGAGCCTATAAAGCCTTCTGGCATACAGGCTTCTGGACTACAATTCCCAGAAGGCGAAGCGGCCCCAGGGCCCTATCCGGAGTTAGGACAATAACTACCCAATGGTGCTGTGCTGTTTGACAGCCTACGATTCCCGGCGTGCTTGGCGAATGCTTATGCCTTGGGGACATGATGGACGCCGAGTTATTGCTGGGATCTGTAGTCGTTTTGTTTACCTGTAGGGGTTGGCTTCCTTTTGTTGTATCTGTGGGTGGGTTTCAGGAATAAAGCAGGAAATGCAGCAATTAAACACACAGGGCCCCAACATCTGCCCGTGCTCGGTCCGGTCCACGGGCGCGCGAGGGCGGAAGTGGTGGTGGCCGGCGCGGCCGGAAGTTCAGATCAGCTGATGGGGGCACACAGACACACACACACAAGCAGATGACAAGCAGGAATCTCCTAGACACACCCACAAGCCCCTGAGTGGCAGGAAGCAGAGGATGTCACCACTCCCAGGTGGGTTTGCAAGAACCTCATCATCGAATCAGCTCCTCATCATCAAATCAGAAGACACGTTGTTGTATGTTTCTTTTTAATATTTTTTTTATTGATTTCAGAGAGGAAGGGAGAGGGAGAGAAACTTAGAAACATCAATGATGAGAGAGAATCATTGATCGGCTGCCTCCTGGACCCTCCTCATTGGGGATCGAGCCCACAACCCAGGCATGTGCCCTGTCGGGGAATTGAACCGCGAACTCCTGCTTCATAGGTCGATGCTCAACCGCTGAGCCACACTGGCCGGGCAAGAGGCTGCTCTGCATGAGGCCCCGGTCTGCCTTCCCGCAGGTGGCCTTCCGGCAGGAGGACAGGCTGAGGTGGGGAGCCCAGGGATCAGCCATGTCCTCAGCTGTGAGCTACCCTCTCCGAGGTCTCAGGGCCCCAGTGTCAGGGGCAAAGCTCTGAGCTTTGAGGAGACGGGGTCCTTGGAGCTGGGGGTCAGGTCTGCTTGGACCTGCATGTGACAGCGCAGAGAGTGGGGACCCCTCTGGTCATGTGAGACCACGTGTCTTCTACCAAATTATCTGCTTTCCCAGAGTGACTGAGTCTTGGTCACTTGCTTCCAGGAACAGAAGTGGGGGCTCTTGCCAGAGTCCAGGAATCCAAACCAGAGGAGCTGATTGGAGGATGAGGCTCTTGGAGACCTGCCTGGGAGTGGGGACGTCCTCCTCTCCCTGCCACTCCGATGGAGGCTTGAGGGTGTGTCTGGAGAACCTAGGAGATTCCTGCTTGTCATCAACAGCGTGTCCGTGTGTGTGTGTGTGTGTGTGTGTGTGTGTGTGTGTGTGTGTGTGTGAGAGAGAGAGAGATTTGGGACGACGGCTGGGAAACCCTGCGTAGGATAGGATTATGAGGACAGGAAGTAGATCTCTTGTCGTTGGTTGGCCTTAGAGGTGGGCAGAAAAGAGTGTCCTCCGGGACTTGGGGATCCTCACCCAGCCCAGCCCACGAGGAGCGTGGCGAGGGATGGATTGTGAGGACGTGGCCATTGGAGGTCACCCCCCTGCAAAGTGCATCGGGGGCCTCTCGTTGAGGGTGGCGATCCCTGAGCCCCGCGGCGCCAGGAAGGGGTTACGCTCGGAAGAAAGCGGAGCCGGACTGGTCCGTGCGAGGCGATGCCTTCGTTGCACAGGTTTCGATCGGACGCTTGGTCCCGGCCACATTGAACATCTGTCACCAGCCAAACCCGGGACCTGCATCAGAGCCTTAGATTCCCGTCACCTGGGCCCTGGGGGAGGTGGTGGGTAATTGTCTCCCGAGTCTCCTTGCGAGCACTCCTCCTGCTTTTCACCGAGTTCCTTTCATCCTGGGGTCTTGCGGAGAGTGAACTGGTTGTGCGGGGAAGAATTTTGCCTTAAAGGGGCTGGTAAAAGCAGCTCAGGACTCACCACATCCTTTCTCGGCCGTTCTCGGGGCACAGTTTGTGTCCTGGGCCTCCTGGAAGTTGAGGGGTTTGGCTTGTGCTTCTGCTCTGGCTACTGCAGGAGTCCTGTTTTCCAACCGCCCTACAGAGATTTCTGGCCCCCCTTGGGACAGGGAGACGTGTCCCTGTGTTACTTTGTAGGAGTGGCAGTATTCCACGTCAGTGGACGAGAGAGCATCTGCTCTGTGTGGGCACACACGCACACACGTGCACACTCAGGTCATAGACAGCATCACTGTGGGTCTTCATGGCTTCTCTGCCTCTTTCACGCTTGCACGTGTGGGTGGCCTGGAGACTTAGAGCTCCCTCACTTTGAAAGAAGTAGAGGTCCTGGTGGGGAAAATTTTTAACATACTGGTATCTTGAACAGGTTAAAATCTAGGACATCATGTCATTCCCCCACCCTCCTCCTGTGTCCCCCGCTACCCTCAGTTGCTCATTTGCAAAATAAGGAGATTAACGTGGGTTTTTTGTTTGTTTGTTTGTTTGCTTGTTTGTTTTTTGATTTCAAAGAGGAAGGGAGAGGAAGAGAGAGATAGAAACATCAGTGATGAGAGAGAATCATTGATTGGCTGCCTCCTGCACGCCCCCCACTGGGGATCGAGCCCCCAACCCAGGCATATGCCCTTGACCAGGACCCTTCAGTCCGCAGGCCGATGCTCTATTCACTAAGCCAAAACGGCTTGGGCATGTGTTGTTGTTGTTTTTTTTAAAAGTTCCTTTCAGCTCCATGATTTCTGATCTTATTTCTAATCTGACTAACAATTTGGTGAGATATGCAGTCTGTTGTATTCCACTGCTGTTTGATTGAAATGATGGGAAAACTTGCAGTGGTAACTCCACCCTCCTCCAGGTGACTCCAGTTCCGTGGGAGCCTGCTCTCCCTCTGCCCCAGGGCTTCCACTGTGGGAAGCCAGGGTTCTGGTGCCCCAAAGAAGTGCAGCCTCTCTGGCTTCTGAAGGCCCCTCTGTTTGGGCTCTGGTCTGTCTGCCCTCCTTAAATAGAGGCCTGGAGTCATCTAGAGAAAAAGGGGTAGTACAAAAGCAGTTAGAGAAGAGCATGTCAGAGAGACCTTAACAGTTAATACGAATCTGAAGTGCTGCGTACGTGGGAAATTGTCTATGGGAAATTAAACGCGGAAGCTCATGAAAGGTGTGACTTGCCAGCTTCCTGAAACACACC